TAGTTGCACGAGATGAGCTACTGATTTGGATCGAGACGTAGGACTCTTCCCGCGGAATTTTCGCTGGCATGAAATAACACGACGGTACATATACATTTGCGCGTGTAACTTTGGCTTAAGAAAAGAGCGGCNCCTCCACCATCCTAAGTTACCCACTAAATGAGGTAATTAAATTTACTTAGTTCGTTTCTTCTTGGCACTTCTAAATCTTTTTCAGCCACCTCTTTAAATACTGTAAAATTCGATTGGTTTTAACCCTATTTTTATGAGGTAAAATTTTTATTGAGCCCCCTATTCGCCCCTCTCCTTCCTGACTTGATCACGTACTGTCGTTTCAACTATTTATCAGGCATTTTTGGGACCATAGAAACCTCGTCCCATACAATTAAATGTACTTTTCTCAATTTTTTTTTTTTCAGATTGAAATTCTAAGAATTAATTTTATATATTGTTCAAGTCTTATGGTAAACGAAATGATTTATGACTGGTTATTCTTTTTGAAATTAATTTTGATGCTATAACATTCCACGCCACAGATAAAAATTTTTTTTTTTTTTCACAAAAAATGAAAAAATAAGTTAACGTTTATTATAGAAAAGTTTTTCCACTAATTTCAGGGCCGTCAATGAAATAAAAGTTTTTTTTTTAACACATACAATTTAGAAAATTGTGATTTGATTTTTATTTAATTCATTATAAGGTTGATGTCTAAGTATTTGGTCATGTCCCAATAGCCGATAATTTGGCTGATTTTTTCAATATGAATTTTCAAAACTTAGACAAATTGGGTAGTTATTCAGAAACTAAAGAATAGTTTTCTTAATACAAATTGACGTGTATATCCGATTGAAAGTATAACAAAGGTATACAAAAATAAAATGTTAAAATGTGACTATTGGGACATTTTGTCTCCTTAAGTGAGCGAGTACTAGGACATCTACCTTACATCGAATTCAATATTTGAGTACAAAAGATAATTTCTTTTATGGTAATGTTTTCTTTTACATAAATTTTTCTTGGTATGACTAAATTAAAATTTCCACTTGATTTGTCTACTAATTATAAAATTTCATTTATATGTAAAAATGCACAATTTTGATTATTGTTCATAAAATCTTTTATTAAACGATTTTTGTATATTTTACAAGTTTTGATCTTTTTGGATATTTTTTGAAATGAGAAACAAGGCAAAAATTTATTATATCTGATATGGTAACATTACAATATTTGGCTTCCATAAAAATGTCATCTATTTGGCTATCGTGGTCGATTAAGCCCGTAGCTACTACAGTATCTTTAATTGTTAGATGTATTATCTTATTAAATGTTTTCTAAACTCTTAATGATATTGCTTCGTTTACTTTATTTAGTATCAATTAAAAAAAAATCTTTCATGATCTTTAGGAAAAACTATGTTTAACCTTTCTATTAGTTTATTTAATGTCATATTTTTTCGTTTTTGCCAAATTTCAAGTTGGTTACTAAAAATATAATACTTTGGAATGTTAACATATTTTATTGATTCCTTGAAATCATTAATTTTATTTAGTTCAAACCATGATGTTATTGGTGTTAGCCGTTTTTCTATTGTTTTTTCTTTAAAAATAAAATTTTGTTCATTTTTAAAATAAATTTCCAAATGAAGTACTTTATGACTTTCAGCAGAAATTAAAAATTCTTCTAATCTCCAGGCAGCTTCCATTGGAATTAAGTATCTGCTACTAACAATATTACTATTATGTTATGTGACGTGTTAGCAAAAGCTATCACTTTGCTATATACTTATAGATTGGGCAAGTCATTGGCGGCTACCAAATCCTATAACACATGTTATTTTCTATATATATATTTTGTTAAGACATTACTTTTTTTTTTATATATTATAGTGCTCTATGTCCGGCTCCTTTGATAAGGGCACTACTATGGGCACTTAGCACTGGGAAAAGGGACAAGGAAAGGGATGGGAGGTCTCCCATTTCTGGGAGGGGGGTAGGGGGAAATTAGGCAATTTTTGCTGTGAGAAGGTTACCTAGACCCTCCTCGAGGAGCATTGCGTGGTGAAAAAGCACATGTGAGACTCACAGAGGTACTTGCCCGAAAGTCGCACTGGCCGGGAATGGAACCACGGTCTCCCGCGTGCCAATCCACGACCTAGCTGACCGAGCGACCACGCGCTCTTCCAAGAAATAAATATATGTATAGAGTATTTTACCCTCTGGATGTTAAAAAATATATGCAATTTGGTACCCAAGTTGCACCTCGTTCTTATGGTTTTTCGAAGGCACTGCACACTTTTTAATTATTGCTTGATTCTGCTAATGTAAACTCACTTTTAGTCTGCATTTATAGTTACACGTGTAATGTTGTTATTTTTGTCTGCTTAAGTATATCAGTAGAACTGAGCTACAATCAGTGAGTGGCGACAACAGCACTATTAACCAAACAAACACTGCTTGTTCCGTTTTTTAAAATACAAAAATTGAAATTGCAAGACTTAAAAGGGTTCAAATCTCTTTGTTGGAAAATGTTTTTTTTTATTAAGTAATGTAAAAGAAGAAATTCGAAGTGAAATAAAAATTATTGTGAAAAATTAAATTACAATTTGTTAAAAAATTAATTGCTTGGGAGTGTGAGGGGTAATGGTGGGTCGAGGTGTGCAGAAGAGTAGCACGGCACGGTTGGAAGACATACATATATAGTGGGAAGAGGGGAAGTGTGTAGAGAACAGTCGGTGAGGGGGTCGGGGTAAGGGGGGAAACTTTAAAGGCAGAGACTTCGGGTGAAACTACTTTCGTTTTCAAAAAAAAAAATCTGTCGGTTTTAAAATTCCAGCCCCCCGAGTAACGCGACATGAAGAACTTTGTTCTAAAAAAATAAGTACTTGTGAATAAAAAATAAATGGTGTACGTGATCATCGCTCTTGTATATGTAGTCAATATTACTTTATTGAACACTTTTTAGTAACATATAATATTTACTTTTTGGAAACATACAAGAAAATATGGCTTATTTTTTACAAAACGAAGTTTTACGAAATTATATATTTGTATATACTTATACATATGTGTATGCATATATATGTTGCGCCTCGAAAATTATATACCTATATATGAATTTCAACATCAGGGCCTGGTCATGCCCTTTCACTGAATTCATACAGAATCCTTATTTTGGATCTAAAAAACCAAATTCGTCAACGGTATTTATTTTTATAAAAGGAGTACCAGGTAACTTAAAGCGTTGTAATCATGTGGCAATCAATGAAAACAAGTAGATTGTTTTGTAGGTGAAAATTGNGTAGAAAAATGTTTTTTTTTTTAAGTTATGTAAAAGAAAAAATTCGAAGTAAAATAAAAATTATTGTGGAAAAATAAAATTTTATTTTGTTAAAAAATTAATTGCTTGGGAGTGTGAGGGGAAATGGTGGGTTAAGGTGTGCAGGAAAGTAGCACGGCACGGTTAAAAGACATACATATATAGTGAGGAGAGAAGAAGTGTGTAGAGAACAGTAGGTAAGATGGACGGAATAAGGGGGAAAATTTTAATGGCAGAGACTTCAGGTAAAACTACTTTCGTTTTCAAAAAAAAAAAAATCTGTCGGTTTTCAAATTCCAGCCCCCCAAGTAACGCGACATAAAGAACTTCGTTCTAAAAAAATAAGTACTTGTAAATAAAAAATAAAACGTGTACGTGATTATCGCTCTTGTATATGAAGTCAAACTTACTTTATTGAACACTTTTTAGTAAAATATAATATTCACTTTTTTGAAACAAACTAGAAAATATGGCTCATTTTTTACAAAACGAAGTTTTACGAAATTATGTATTTGTATATACTTATACATATGTGTATGCATATATAAGTTGCACCTCGAAAATTATATACCCATATATGAATTCCAACATCAGGGCCTGGTCATGCCCTTTCACTGAATTTATACAGAATTCTTATTTTGGATTTAAAAAACCAAATTCGACAACGGTATATATTTCTATAAAAGGAGTACCAGGTAACTAAAAGCGTTGTAATAATGTGACAATCAATGAAAACAAGGAGATTGTTTTTTAGGTGAAAATTGGATACATGTGGAATCAAGCAACTATTTAAAAAAAGCTAGTTTTCGTAAATATTTATTTTCTTACGANTGATTACAGCTCATCCAAACATTTTTTTGTATACAAAATAATGTGCACGATAAATTTATTCCATTAATTTTTTTATGCACAAAATTATGTGCACAAAATAGTGTGCACCAAATACTGTGCACAAAATACTGTGACTTGTTGAAATATTTTTTTTTTTTTATAATTTTATACGTTGTAAAAAATAATTAGTACACAATCTGTTCATGTATTGTTTTGTGCATAAACATTATGTGCATAATGTATTTTGTGTCCGTTATTTTTCATTACAAATTATTATGTGAATAACGATTTGCGTACAATTATTTGTGTATAATAATAATGTGCACGATTCTTACGTGTAGGGGAGACCTAATGCCCTACTGGGCATCTCTCTGACCGTCATTTAAATACCAATATTTCGGTACTCCAACTGGCCCAGTTAGTAGATTTGTACTGTCTTCTAGATACTTCCTTACAGCAGTTGACACTGATGTGTCAGCTAATTTAATTTCAGGTTGTCGAATCTTTGATGTATACAAGTACGTAATAAGTTTATTACCTGAATTTCTAAGCTTGTTTGAAGTAACATATTTCCAAAAATTACAATGTTTTCCAGTATTATTTATAAAACTATTATAAACCCTTCTTTCTTTGTCCCAATTTTAATCTTTGCATCACGAAAGTACTCATGACTGTCTTCATTTCAAATGTTGAAACAAAAAGTGATTTTAAATGATCGACTGAATACGACTCCCTGTGCGATTTATTTCTTACTGTCTTTTTTGTCTGATCAGCCCTGATATCATGAAATATCCTGACGAAAGACTACATTTATGTTTTTACCCAACTTTAATCACTGTTTTAACTTCAATCACTCTTTTTGGGTTTTCTTTTTTAGAATCTTTCTTGGAATGATCTGAAGCTGATGTGAAATCCTTGATTTTGGTGTGCTTAAATTCAACTTGTTTCTTGTTACACACTTCATTGTTATTTTTCTTGTCTCCATTCTCGCCATATTTTGCGTTTATTCTTGCCAGTATGGTGTGAAACAATTTGAACTCTTTAACTTTAAGTTCACATTCTACAACATTAATTATTTTATTAAGCAGGACCTTCGGAACGTATTACGATTATTTAACAACAATTTTTCTCTTGGAAAGTGATCTTAAGGATTTTTCGACTTATTTTATTCTCTGTTAACTTCAAGTTTACGATTTTTTCCTTGCACATAATTTTTATTGTTCTACTAGACATCTTCAGACGAATTCTTGGTAACAATCAAACTTATGTAAAAAGCTAGAATTAATGCAATAAAATTGTGTACTACTGATACTAATAAGTCTATTACCTTTTGGAATAAAATTAATAATTTTGTTGAAACCACTTACAGAGAGTGATTATCTTTGGTACTACGAGAACCAGTGGTAAGGTAACCTATCTTTTGGTGACAAAAAAATAGAATTTATGAGCTGTCTTTTATTTCGACGAAGAAACTTATCAATGATGTTTTTAATAGTATCATATTAGTATTAATTTAGAGTAATAGAAAAATTGTACTTACGAATCAGTTGACAACAATGTTTATGATGAATGGCAACAAGCGTAGCGTTAAGTGTTCTACACTTTTTTCCTCCTCAAACAGGCATGCGTGCGAACACGTCCGAGTGGTGGCGCATAGGCACTTCCATAAGTCATCACCCAATCGGAAATTTAAACTAGGCTGCCTAGTTGACAAGGTACGGCCTAGCAAAGCTGCCTCAGTAGGACCTGGGTAGGCGTAAGCCTGAGCATGAAATTGGCGCTAGCTAGTGCCTAGCTAGGTAATATATATTTTCTTATATTATATAGTTGTATAGACAAAAGTAAGTCTCAGCTCTCCCCACTCGTGCTCAGCTCCCCCTCAATTCACATAGTTGTTTGCTTATTTTCACGTAAATTTGAGACAATTGTGTTCGAGCAAGCTGCACTTCACTTCCCCTACATACATACATACATATATATATATATATATATATATGTAACGTATGTACATACATACGTAAAAACTGACTTATGCAGACTCTATGTCTTTTTAGATATATACTGGTAACATGAAAACATATGCGGACAGTCAGCATAAGTCAGTAAAAGTTTGCATGAATAATCTTTTTTTGTAGAATGTCAGCATAAGTCATCATACTCATAAACATCTTTCTATATACATAGTATAGCACCCTATACTATATGGTTATATTCAAGGGTCATTTTATATCCTCTTCATTTCCCTCCACCATCCTAAGTTACCCACTAAATGAGGTAATTAAATTTACTTAGTTCGTTTCTTCTTGGCACTTCTAAATCTTTTTCAGCCACCTCTTTAAATACTGTAAAATTCGATTGGTTTTAACCCTATTTTTATGAGGTAAAATTTTTATTGAGCCCCCTATTCGCCCCTCTCCTTCCTGACTTGATCACGTACTGTCGTTTCAACTATTTATCAGGCATTTTTGGGACCATAGAAACCTCGTCCCATACAATTAAATGTACTTTTCTCAATTTTTTTTTTTTCAGATTGAAATTCTAAGAATTAATTTTATATATTGTTCAAGTCTTATGGTAAACGAAATGATTTATGACTGGTTATTCTTTTTGAAATTAATTTTGATGCTATAACATTCCACGCCACAGATAAAAATTTTTTTTTTTTTTCACAAAAAATGAAAAAATAAGTTAACGTTTATTATAGAAAAGTTTTTCCACTAATTTCAGGGCCGTCAATGAAATAAAAGTTTTTTTTTTAACACATACAATTTAGAAAATTGTGATTTGATTTTTATTTAATTCATTATAAGGTTGATGTCTAAGTATTTGGTCATGTCCCAATAGCCGATAATTTGGCTGATTTTTTCAATATGAATTTTCAAAACTTAGACAAATTGGGTAGTTATTCAGAAACTAAAGAATAGTTTTCTTAATACAAATTGACGTGTATATCCGATTGAAAGTATAACAAAGGTATACAAAAATAAAATGTTAAAATGTGACTATTGGGACATTTTGTCTCCTTAAGTGAGCGAGTACTAGGACATCTACCTTACATCGAATTCAATATTTGAGTACAAAAGATAATTTCTTTTATGGTAATGTTTTCTTTTACATAAATTTTTCTTGGTATGACTAAATTAAAATTTCCACTTGATTTGTCTACTAATTATAAAATTTCATTTATATGTAAAAATGCACAATTTTGATTATTGTTCATAAAATCTTTTATTAAACGATTTTTGTATATTTTACAAGTTTTGATCTTTTTGGATATTTTTTGAAATGAGAAACAAGGCAAAAATTTATTATATCTGATATGGTAACATTACAATATTTGGCTTCCATAAAAATGTCATCTATTTGGCTATCGTGGTCGATTAAGCCCGTAGCTACTACAGTATCTTTAATTGTTAGATGTATTATCTTATTAAATGTTTTCTAAACTCTTAATGATATTGCTTCGTTTACTTTATTTAGTATCAATTAAAAAAAAATCTTTCATGATCTTTAGGAAAAACTATGTTTAACCTTTCTATTAGTTTATTTAATGTCATATTTTTTCGTTTTTGCCAAATTTCAAGTTGGTTACTAAAAATATAATACTTTGGAATGTTAACATATTTTATTGATTCCTTGAAATCATTAATTTTATTTAGTTCAAACCATGATGTTATTGGTGTTAGCCGTTTTTCTATTGTTTTTTCTTTAAAAATAAAATTTTGTTCATTTTTAAAATAAATTTCCAAATGAAGTACTTTATGACTTTCAGCAGAAATTAAAAATTCTTCTAATCTCCAGGCAGCTTCCATTGGAATTAAGTATCTGCTACTAACAATATTACTATTATGTTATGTGACGTGTTAGCAAAAGCTATCACTTTGCTATATACTTATAGATTGGGCAAGTCATTGGCGGCTACCAAATCCTATAACACATGTTATTTTCTATATATATATTTTGTTAAGACATTACTTTTTTTTTTATATATTATAGTGCTCTATGTCCGGCTCCTTTGATAAGGGCACTACTATGGGCACTTAGCACTTTGGAGAAGGAAGGGAAGAAGAGTGAAAGACCTGCTATTACTGGGAGGGGGATAGGGAGAAATTAGGCAATTTTGCTGCGAGAAGGTCGCTTTATCCCCTCCTCGAGGAGCATTGTGTGGTGAAAAAGCACATGTGAAAAATCACAGAGGTACTTGCCCGAAAAGTCGCACTGTATCACATTACTTAATGTGTGTTCTCGGTGCTGTAGACTACGAGCCAAGAGGAGAGAGAAGGACCGAAGGTAATAAGGGAAGTTGGATGTGTGTGAGATATGGTTGAGTGAGTGTATGTATAAGAGAGAGAAGGGAGATGGATACGCTTACGACATGTCAGGAACAAACCGAGGGCCAGTTTATCGCACTGAGGACTTAGTTTTTGAAGCCTTCAGCGATTTACCGGTTTTTAAGATCGTTGGAGGTTGTGAGATGTAAGGAGAGGGGTGCTCGCACCTATGCAGACTTACTGCATAGCAGAGGTATCCGGGTGATCCGAGTGAACGAGTGTGTGAGTACATGCGGGGATAAGGTGGATGTTAGAAACGCGTGAGTGTGTAAGATATTTTTCAGGTTAGTGACGCACGCGAGGACGGTGACCATTACGAGGTGTGCATGACACGATGCGTCTGGGAATATGCGTATGTATGTAAGGTATGTGCTGGCCTCCGACAGCTGAGCCAAGGAGAAGTTTAACAGTGAGGATAACCAGAACACGTACATCGAGTAGCATACTGACCTTGAAGACATCGTGTATTAATGCTCATATTTATAGAGAAGAAAAAGGAAGAAAATGTGTGTTCTGAGCCGGACCCCTGTGGCAGACCTCCTGGAGAAGAGGAATCCAGTGCGTAGGGACTAGGTAAGTGACGTACGAGAGAATATTTGTGACAGGATCCGAGCGGCTGTTTATCGGTTGAAAAATCATCGTTACAATTAACATTCTTTAAATGTATCGTTATCTTTGTAAATGTAGTCATAAATGTACTTAATTCTTAGTATAAAAGCACATTTTACTCAACATTTTATATGGCATTTATACTGCATCAACGAAAATTAACTATGTGGCACAACCGTTGAATTGACAACTGGAATTCCTTTTTTATTCTTGTTTCGTAAAGATGATTTTTGCAAATGTTATTTTTTTTCTTGTATTCAAAATAACCAATTTAAAGAATGTTATTGAATCAGTGAAAGCTTAGAAAAATTCTTTATACATTTTTGTTTGTTTTATTTGACTAAGAACTTTTTTCGTTATGAGGACCATGTAACATATGTTTGATAATTAACTTTGTAAGTTTTTTTATTATTTGACATAATCTCAGTAGATATTATGAAATCTACGTTTTTAGGCGTAATTATTTTATCATCAGGATGTTATATATAATATGAGCAAATGTGCATGTGATAATCCGTCCACGATTTTAGAACTCTACTGTGTAAACATAAGCTAATACTTAATCAAAAATGTTGTTACTTGTTATATCATCTAAAATTAATTGTAGTTCTAAAAAGAAATAGCCAAACTGTTCTGTTATGTTTGAAATATCGGTTGGGAATGTTTTTTTATTTTGTTATTTTTTTGGAGAATTCGATCATTTTCAAGTCTTTCCATTCAATATTGCACATTTCTGTTATAAATAAATCTGGTCTACCATATTCTCGCATTACAGCTACAGCATCTTAATAATGTTGTTGTATATAACGTGGACCTTTATTATACGTCAATGGTAATGTATATATAATTCTGATACATGTATATATGATGAAAAGATGAAAAAGTGTAACGGAAATGGATTTTGCTTTCATTCTCCCCCTTCGCCCCACCCCTCATGACGTACTTCCAGTCCCCTATATACCACACAACGCCACCACACCACACAACAATCAAAGCCCTGCGCTTACTACAGTACACATTTTGAATTTATTTCTTTTTTCTTTTAACAAATTTCTAAAAAAAAACAAAAAAAAAACACAGTTTTCAAAGAGATTCGAACCCCCGTCCTCTAACCCAATAGGCGAGCTCCTTACCCACTCTGCTATGAGCAAGCCCAACATATGGTAACCGATTACTTTATTTGATCGTACAGTTTGTAACATATTTCTAATATAAATTTTTATGTACTTTTGGTTTAATTATACATTATATGAATGAATAATTTATTTAATAAAATAAATTTTTATATACTCG